AAATTGTTCAAGATTTGAAGAAAGGAAGACGCCAAGTTGATCTCGCGCGCCAGCATGGCGTCAACGAATCTACGATTCGTACAATAAAGAAGGATGCAGCCAAGATAAAGGAGCACATGAAGATCACAAAGTCTGCAGGTGCTTCATCTATCAGGTATTGCCAGAACAGGGTGCTGGCAAAAGTGGAAAATTTGCTGGTGAGTTATTTGGTGCGTCAGGCGCGACGCAACATGGCGGTGGACACGCGCTCAGTGCAGGAGTACGCACGTGAGCTATACGCAGCAGTGTCACGTAAACTGGGAATTGCAGAGCCCAAACCCTTCAATGCTTCCTCTGCTTGGCTGCATAGGTTTAAGAAGAGGAACAAGATCACCAACATCAACATTGGTGGTGAGGAAGCGAGTGCTGACCGTGTGGCGGCTAGAGATTTTCCTCCGTTCTTACGTGAGATTATGGAGGAAGGACAGTACACCGACGACCAGGTGTTTAACATGGACGAATCTGGTCTTTTCTGGAAAAAGTTACCTTCCAAGACCTTCGTTGTCCAGTCTGCCAGCAAGGTAAGGGGTCGGAAGTTGCAGAAGGAACGCATCACCGCCCTGTTTACCACCAATGCCTCCGGTACCTGTAAACCAAAGTTATCGGTGATTCACACAGCCCGCAAGCCGCACGCCTACAAGAATATGGACATGAACAAGCTTAATGTCCACTGGCTAACCGCACGTAAGGCGTGGATGTCCTCTTCTCTGTCCCTCTTCTGGTTTGACAACTGTTTTGTTCCCGACGTGAAGAAATTCTGCGAGCAACAGAATGTTCCATTCAATATTTTGTTGCTCCTTGACAACGCACCTGGACACTCGCCCCTACTTATGGATCGTCACCCCAACGTAAAAGTGGTCTTCCTTCCTCCCAACACTACGTCATTAATCCAGCCTATGGACCAGGAGTTAATCTGCAATGTTAAAGCTGCATACTCGGCAAAGAAATTCAAGCTCCTGAACGACTCTACCAACACCAAGGATGAGTTGCGTAAGCTGGGTGACACCGACAGCGAGAGTAAAAGCGACGAGGACAAGGAACAAGAGGCGGCGACTCAAGAACTTCTCGTCAAACAATTTTGGAAGAAGTTTAACGTCAAACAAGCTGTAGACTTCTTGGTGGAGGCATGGAATCTGCTGTCTATTGCTACGATTCGTCACGCATGGAGACATGTGTTGCATGGCATACCAGGTGAGAGGAGGAGTGAACCTGTGACTGGTCAGGTTCAGACTGTTGCAGTTAGCAGTGGACCTTGCCAGAGAAGCTGCGCTCAGTATTACAGCTGAAGGCTTCTCCGAGACCACCAACGAAGACATCATGGAGGTGATCAGAGATCCTGAAGTGACTGCCGACGAGATGTTGGAAGAAGAACCCGCCAGTGAAGAGGAGGAAGAAGGTGCGTCATTCTCCGAAGAACCTAGTTTAAGTCATAGTGATATTAAGTGTGTCATAGAGTTAACAGAAAAAATTAAGTACATCGTTTCCCGCGACACTGACGATGAACGCCATGACGTCTTCCATACCCGACTGGTGCAGGCTATGGAGCCGTACATCACGGTGTATCATGACAACATCAAAGCCAGCCGTCAGCAAAGCATAACCGAGTTCTTCGCCCGCAACCCACCACAGCCAGCCCAAGCCAGTGATAGTGATAGTGAAGTTGATTTTGAGGGATTTGTCAGGGAAGCCATAACAACTGTAAGTGACAGTGATATTGATTCACCTAGTAATGGTGATTCACCTAGTAATGGTGATTCACCTAGTAATGGTGATTCACCTGAGGGGCAGTAATCTGCCCTCTGCCTCGGAACCAGCCTCCATCCCCGTATGCCGACCCATCTCTTCTACTACCGTGAGTGTTCCTCAAAATTTTTCGTTTTTTAACCTATTCTTTATTTTTCCTATGTTAACCTTTATCTTTCCTAACCTAACCTCTTCTATATTACTTGTTTTTCATGCCACCATAAAGTTAAGATAGAATTTTTACTACAACATAGTTATTTGTCGTCAAAAAGTGGAGTTTGGGGGTCGGGCTGGGTTCTATTGGAATTAATCCCATATGTTCTGTTATTCACTTAATGCGGTTTTCACTTAACGCGGGACCCTCTGGGTTCAATTGACCGCGTTAAGTGGGGCACAACTGTATATATATATATATATATATATATATATATATATATATATATATATATATATATATATATATATATATATATATATATATATATATATATATATATATATATATATATATATATATAATTGTTCCACAAAAAAAAAACTTTCGGTTTTCGGAATTTCGGATAAAGGGTTGTCAACCTGTTTGTGTTTGTGTGTGTGTATGCGTGCATGCGTGCGTGCATGTATATACATACAGTGGTTCTTCGGTTAACAAACACAATTAGTTCCAGATGGTCATTCGTTAACCGAAACCATTGTTTCAATGGGATTTTGGGTAATTGGTTCCAGCTCACCGAAAATTACATACAAAGTAAAAAAAAAAATGCAGTAAAGTACACTTACTTTGAGGTGTGTATGTAGAAGGCTCCTGGTTGATGATGATGATGATGGGAATTAGAAGTGGGGGTGGAGGAGAAGGGAGAAGTGAAGGAAGTGGGGGTGGAAGAGAAACCCCGTGCTTGATGCCGTCATTTCACCCATAAAATTTTAAGTTCACTAGGTGTAATTCAAGATTATTTTCTTTAAATCAACACTGCATTATATATTGTCAATATGTTAAATAAATTTCAGAATGACCAATAATTGTACTGTAAAAACATAAAAATACTCTGTGTTCAAGAGACCCACAAGCAAGATGTTTCCGCCACTGAACAGAGATACAAACTGAGGCCTTGGTGGGTGAGTGAAGTGGCTGATGGGCTCATCAAAAACTAGTTCCCTGTACTGCAATTATGTTAAATAAGTGTTAAAATGACTAAAAAAATTAATAAAAAACTTGGAAAATTATTGAATAGTACAACCTTCTTGATATTTACTCCAATTTTAATGAATGTAATCCCTAGAACCGATTTCTGTATTGGCGGACTAATCTTCTAGCTGGTGAGCAAGCCAAAGCATGTCGAAACATTTTCGTAAGAATTTCGTTAACCGAAATTAAGATTCTTATGGAAGGTAATTCGTTAACCGTGATGTTCGTTAACCGAGGGACCACTTTACTGTATGATTTTCTAAAACATTAGTGATTAAGGAAACCCAACTTAGTCAAGATGTTTGTGTTTTCCCTGGTTCTCCTCTTCGTTATATATACAGCTCCTCCCCAACTTACGACGGGATTAGGGACCCAAATCCAGGTCGTAAGTCGAAATGGTCGTAAGTCGAAAATGCTTAAATAATACAAAGAAAATCTAAAATGGGTGTCTCTTTTTCTTCTCAGCACCACAAAACTCTCACTTTTTAGCTTGCCAGCCATTTTAAAGTGAATTACAAACGAAAATTCTGTCAGTACACAGCGCAATCACTGACGTTGGGACTCGAAAATACGTAATTTGACAAAATTTTGGTACGACTGAGGCGGTTGTATGTCCGGGTGGTCGTAAGTCGGGGAGGAGCTATATGCATACATACAGCATGCCTTTACAATTTGAGTATTTTTAATTCACGGCCCTCGATTATTCGCAGATTACAGCCTAGATGTACCTAAGAATGTCTGCGGGTAATTTTAAAGTTGCCAGCATTTTCGTAGCCATATTTCACTGGATTTATTGTTATTAATAGTGTTTTCTGATAGAATAGTGCTTAACAGTGATTAATCATGTCATTGTAGCTATGTTAGCTCACCATTGTAACCACCAGGCTACAGGGCCAAGCTGTGAGGTGTTATGGATTTTTTCAACTCGTATTTTTGTAACCTTCTTCATTTATTTTTACTCAGTTACATGCATACACCATCCTTTATACATATTGTGAAAAAATTATACAATATTACACTGCAATTACTGACATCCTTCATGTTGGGTTGGCTAGATGGCTACGAAAGAAATTCTGCAAGTTTGATCGACGTATCAACCCATTTGGTGCTCAGATGCCATTCGTTCTAGAGACAGTAATTTTTATGAGGACAAAATTGCCATATGGCAACCCAAACAACTCGACTTTAATAACAAAGCACAGAGTTGACTTGAGGGTAGACTCAAATTATTTCTACATTTCAATACATTTTGTTGTCTTGTTTCTCATTATTTGTGAGAGGATTTTCCCATTATTATTCATTTGTGTGTGTGTGCATCTGCGCACACACACACACACACACACACACACACACACACACACACTGACCATCACCATGACCTCATCTGCAAATTTGGCGAGAAGCTTCTGCACCATCCTCGACACCTGCTTCTACTACTAACTGAGATCCCTTGCCCGATAATTGCTGTTCAACACCAAAACCGCATCCAGCCCATATGAGCACGAACTGATCGCTATAAGAACAGCCCAGTCCCAACCATTGTAAAAATTATCAATAACTTGCAATCAACCAGTGTATTCACTCCCAGTCAATCTTACTTTTTGCACTGTCACTATGTTGAGTTTCTCCCCACCTAGTTATTATATATCATATTTGTATCACTTATGTTACCTGTATATTATTTGTAAATCAAGAGACCCATTCTCCAATTATGTAACTGTATATTTTCAGCCTTCCGGCTGCCATGCTCTTTCAATAAACTGTTAATTATTATTATTATTATCACACACACACACACACACACACACACACACACACACACATATACAATAAATATAGGTAAAAGAAATAATTGTCCTATGGACAAACACGTAAAGGGAATATACATTTCTTTGCACACAAGGAAAATGTACTCCACCCCCCTGGTCAGCAAATGCTATTCGCGGATTTAGCTATTTGCAGCCATTTTGAGACCCAAACCCCCGCAAATTTTAAGGGCATGCTGTATATTGAATGCACTCTCTTCTTGCAGGACTCCATTAGTGTGTATAATCCTGCTGGCAGACAAGGAAGTAAACATTATGAAGAGCAGTGTAACAACTTCAAATGGAAAGAATCAAGCAGACCAACTTCAGGTGGAAGTTCAAGAGGAAAGTCTTCGTTAAAGAGTGGTAGTCGTCCTGCGAGGTTTGTATGATGTTTATGATTAGGTAATGGCGAAGAAAGGTGAAAACCTGTTAAGTTAATAAGATTATGCAGTAATGTAATGTAGTTATTTTTCCCCAGACAAGTCGCATTCTGGACTTTATCACAGAAACTGTATTTTTTTTTTGCTCTGATGCAGGGTGGCCATTGTACTGATCTCCTGATTCTTAGCATTCATCAATTTGTTGGTTACCTTACCCTACCCCATGGCAGGCTACAAGTCTGCTGAAGGTTGTTTCATCATTAACATTACACAGTATTATTAAGGATTACCAGAGGAGGTAAAGATAAGTTTCCTGGTGTTTGACCTGCTTTTATACTTTTAATGTCTCCGCCAGGATACCCATATTTTTCAGCTAACAAATGATGAAATTTTATAGTGAGGCTAATTCAGGTAGTTTTAAATTTTCTCAGCCTAGACATTAAATGTACATTTTAACCAATTACAGATGGAAATAGATCCCTCTATTCTTTGTTTACAGGATTTTAGTGTTTGTTTATGAAATTGGCATTGTTAATAGAAATTGTTTTAGTTATCTTAAAAGTTTTATTATATGTAAAATGAGGAACCGATTTGACAGCTCTGTTCTTGATACAGCATATTGGGCTCTGTACTTATTTAAATTAAAATATTGCTGCCCAATGCATTCCTCTGCTTCTCCAAAGACATTTAAACTTGGATAAGTTTTCAGGTAACTATTTATATACCAGTGCTTTTTCACCTCCTCTGGTACTTAGTTTGTATCCTGAAAATGATAAACTTCCCCAAGACCATCATTGAGATATTCAGTAATACCTGTACAGTATCTTTGTTAGCCGGAATTTCTCAAACCCGGAACTCTCCAATAGCTGGAATTTAAATTTGCCTGGAATTTTTCCGGAAAATTGTCAATTCTGGGTCTCGGAACAAATTCAGAGGATGAAAATCGTGTGCATTTTCTGAAAATTCCAAGAAAAATTCTGAATTTTTTTTACACAGTTTCATTTCTGGGTCTGGGAATAAATTTTCCGGGCATTCCAAAAGATTGCTTCATGCTCCAATGCATCCCCACATGCCAGGCGCATGGGTGGCCCGGCTGCTTGGATCACTTAGTTCATATTCTGCTGCCATTTTCTGCTGTTTTTGTGTACAATCTGTTTTGTGCAGTGCTGTACTGTACATTATTGTACCAGAACAAAATCAGCCAGGAATGCAGTGTTAAAGCAGTGTTAAGAACATAAAAAGTGATTACAGTTATGTAAACTATACTGTACATTATTGTACCAGAACAAAATCAGCCAAGAATACAGTGTTAAAGCAGTGTTAAGAACATAAAAAGTGATTACAGTTATGTAAACTATCCTGTACATTATTGTACCAGAACAAAATCAGCCAAGAATACAGTGTTAAGAACATAAAAAGTGATTACAGTTATGTAAACTATACTGTACATTCAGTAAGTGGGACAAATTAGAGCACCTTACCGTTCATCTTTATTCAAGACATCATCAGGTCATGAGACCTACTAATCTCCCACCCCGACACTGGGTGACCTGATATTGCATCAGGTCAGTAACATGACCCACTAATCTCCCACCCAACCTCCATCTCAAGTGTTAAGATGTGATTTCAGTTGAGCATTACAGTCAGCTGAGTGAACAGTGTCTGCTGGTGAGTACAGTATATACAGTACAGTTGTACCCCACTTAACGCGGTCAATTGAACCCAGAGGGTCCCGCGTTAAGTGAAATCCGCGTTAAGTGAACAACAGAACATATGGGATTAATTCCAATAGAAACCGGCCCGACCCCCAAACTCCACTTTTTGAAGGCACATACCTATGTTGTAGTAACATCTTAATTTTATGATGGTACATGCACACAATTAATACTTAAGAGAAATAGAGAAATACAGTCGCCAAGTTAATGTCCATTCAAATAATGGACTCAACTCCCTCCCCCCTCACACTACACAGCCGGCTAACAGATGGTCGGTCGGTCCCTCCCTCCCCCCCCCCACCCCCCACCAACCGTCCCAAGGAGATGTGTGGGATAACCTCAAACTAAAGTTAGGAAAATATAATTGACATTGCTGGATTCCTTGTAAGACCAGGAATATTTTGAATATAAATGTCATATATTTTGGACAAAAGATAACAGTTACCTAGAGAAAAAATTTTATCTAAAAATTGTAAGTTTAAAGCAAAATATATGATGTTTATATTCAAAATGATCACCAAATTATAAGAATTCCAGCAATGTAAATTATATTCTGACCGGGTAATTTGTATGAATTTTATGAGCTAAAACAAATATCTTCAGTTAATAAAAAAAAAATAATCTTCACGACACTATCTGTCAATCAAAGTACCCCACCTTGCCTCCCCCCCTCTTCCAACCGTGCGGTCAGTCCCAACCCTCCCCCCCACCCCCCACCAATCCTCCCTTCCAGAGTTTTTAACATTTAGTATTAAATAATACCTCAGATTAAAGTTAGGATAATATAATTGACATTGCTGGATTCCTTGTAAGACCAGGAATATTTTGAATATAAATGTCATATATTTTGGACAAAAGATACCATAGTTACCTAGAGAAAATTTTTATCTAAAAATTGTAAGTTTAAAGCAAAATATATGATGTTTATATTCAAAATGATCACCAAATTATAAGAATTCCAGCAATGTAAATTATATTCTGACCGGGTAATTTGTATGAATTTTATGAGCTAAAACAAATATCTTCAGTTAATAAAAAAAAATAATAATTCTTCACACGGTAACAGATGGTCGGTTGGTCCCTCCCTCCCCCCCACCCCCCACCAACCGTCCCAAGGAGATGTGTGGGATAACCACTAAATTTTAATAAATAATACCTCAAACTAAAGTTAGGATAATATAATTGACATTGCTGGATTCCTTGTAAGACCAGGAATATTTTGAATATAAATGTCATATATTTTGCACAAAAGATACCATAGTTACCTAGAGAAAAATTTTTATCTAAAAATTGTAAGTTTAAAGCAAAATATATGATGTTTATATTCAAAATGATCACCAAATTATAAGAATTCCAGCAATGTAAATTATATTCTGGCCTGGTAATTTGTATGAATTTTATGAGCTAAAACAGGCAGTCAGGCAGGGTGGCGGGTGGGGCAAATCTAAAAATAGCGTCTCGGACACTCACCGCGTATATGTGGAAAAAACCCGCGTTAAGTGAAAGTTCAGCTTTGGCAAGGCACCGCGTATATGCGAAAACGCGTTAAGTGAAAGCGCGTTAAGCGGGGTAAAACTGTAGTATACAGTAGAATGTCGATTTAAAGCAATTCAATTTAAGATTATTGATTTAAAGCGACACCCACAGTTAAGGACAATGTTTTAATTTTAAAGCAAATCTTTCCTATTTTGCGCAAGTCAATCTGGCGCATCATATTTTAAAATTCGCACCTAATGTTTCTCTGGGCACGCTACACTCTCCTAAGGGCAAAGCTGTACTGTACAGTACATGTACTCAAAATATACTACCCGTATACACACCCTGATTTTGGAAATGTAATTCTAGGAAAAAACTTTTCATACTTACTAACCGACACCGTGAAACCGTTGCTTGATGTACAGCCCTTTTGGCACAAGTACACACACCTCTTTGAATATCATCACTTAGAACTGTTTATCAGTCGTCATTTTCATCAATTTTTAATAAAAAAATCTGTATAAGAAGTGGAAATCTTTAATACAGCACTCATTTTCTACACCCGGTCACCTCCGCGTCTAGCGGGCTGTCGTGTTTACATTCTTTCTCTTGATTTTGTCGGTATGACAATGACGAGAAATATTTTCCATCAGTAGAAGGTAAGCAAATGTAAACATGTATATCAACATCTAAAGAAAAATAATGTTTATGTTCTTCACTCAAGTGTGAAGAAACAAAAATTGCTGCTCTTTGAGACCAGCAGAAAACCTTTTGCTATTCCTCAATAGATGGCGCTGCCGCACCACTGCCATTAGTAAACAAACCGCACAGCGGCAAGGGTTGTGTAGCTGTAGCCGTTTATTTTTTATTTCTTACCTACTAAGAAAATAATCATATTTTTTGCAGTATATCAACAATATTAGTTAAATAAAATGTTTTATAGTATAGAGAATACTTGTAATTGCTAAGTAATGAGGTAACAGTCTTTGTAAGGGGCTGATTTCAGTTGATCCTAAGAAAACCTCCGCTACAACCCATCAACTAGCATCATGGAAGACGCATGGTAATTTTCAAGGTACAGTGAGTTCTGCTATAATGCGTGTTTTGACAACGCGAATTGGCTCTAACGCGATTTATGAATAGAGGAACAATATTTGTATAACGCGAACTCTTGTTTGCTGTAACGCAATTTTTGCTTACTATTTCTCCAATTTTGTGGTATTAACCGTGAATATGGTAAAGAAGAATATCTCCAAGAAGCATTCTGGTGATCGCATTCCCGGTGATGATCGTAAAAGAAAGGCTATAACCCTTGAAGAGAAGCTCGATGTTATCAACCTCAAAATCACCCTTCTCCCCCATCAAGTTATATTCATATTTTTTCAAGGTAAAGTGTTACATTTACTGTATGATTTCATTATTAGATATGAATGTAACATTTATTTAGACTGTGCTATCCTTTGTGTTAGGCTAACTACTAATATTTTTTCGATTTCGAGTGGTAATCTGCACCTAACCCTATTTTCTCCATAAGCCCTGTTATTTCTATTACGCGAATTTCTATAACACGATGTTTTACAAGAACACAACTATCGCGTTATAGCAGAACTGACTGTATATTTTTGTAATAAAAAGTGCGTCTTCTATGCTGCAAAATATTGTAAATGATTACTAAAACTTTTGTCTAGTGCAAACTATTGCATGATTATATTCAAATTAATCACTGTCTTATAAAAATTCCAGCAATGTAAATTATATTCTCCCCGGTCATTTCTGTGACATTTTATAATAAACAAAAAACTCAAACTAAAGTACATAAATACTTCACTAGACCTTCGGCACCAACTGTTAAACATGTCACCTCCCCTTCCTCCCTCCCTCCCAGCTAGGGTTTGGTGTACATCACCGCTGTGTGCCCTGCTTTTGCTGTTTCTGTCTCACAAAATATGGAACATGTGTTTAGTCCAACAATTGCGTATGCATCAAAGGATGATTCACATATGTTCAATCTCATTTTGTATGAGGCATCTTGCACATCTCTTCAGCATCTCTGATATTTCCTAGCATTTTCAGTCCTCACTTTGAACAAATGCTGGCCATCATCCTTCTGACAGAAGAAGCACCGGTCCATGTCCAGTGGCACTGTGCATGACTGTGTGAACAGCAGTGAAGATGCAGAAGTAAATGGGTCAGACTCAACTATTTCGGTGCTTCATTTTTTTAGGTCACATATTTTGGCGGTGTAGAATCCAGTTGATAATGCATGGGTTTTGCGGTGTCTGGCACACTGTATCTGGTCCTCGTTAGTTGCATTGAAGTAGCAAGTACGGTGCCATATAGCTCTCTCTATGGGAAGTTTTTCTTTCGTAGTCTTATAGTCGATTTTGCGCTTAAACATAGTTGCCATCAAGCAAACTGGCTCTCTCTTGAACTGTCTCCAACAGATGCTGATATGAGTCTATAGCTTCTAGTTCGTGGATTCCTGGGTTTGATGAGCCCCTTGATCAAGTTTGGGCATTTTACTCATAATGTACACACAGTAAAAAAAAGTACCGCACAGATTATGTGCGAAACAATATGACAAGATAATTAATGCAATGGTGTTGATGATATTATGCCGGTCCTGTGGGACGTAACTAATATGGCCCTACCATAGGTAGGTGGAAACCTTTGCCATACAGGCATGTATACCAACCCTCCTGGCACATCAGGTGATGTATGGATCGTTACGGAAGACAGCAAACCCCTCCCCTGCTAGATACTTTTTTTACTGTGTGTACACATACTGGAATTTGCAGAACCTGCAAATAAAACAAACAGAACCACTATAAACACAGCCACCACCACTACAGTTTTGATTCGGTTCATGTTTGTATGCATTGTACACATTAATACCATAAAAAAAAAAATAATAAAAAGAATAATGGCCCCAGAAGTGGTTGTACCACATTATACCTGGTACCATTGGATTCTTTGCCACTGAATACGAGGTCTGCCCAAAAAGAAACCAAACTTTTTAAAAAACAAATTTATTGCTTTACTTACAACTTAATCAGACTTGTCTCCTTCAAAGTACTCCTCTCTACTGTTGATACACCGCTCCCAATGTTTTTTCCAGTTCTGGATCACGTCCTGGATCACGTTTTGAGGGATGGTGCGCAGGTCTCGTAGCGAATTTTCTTCTATCTCTTCTTTGGGAACAAAAAAGTCTGCAGGGGCCAAATCCGGAGAGTAGGGCGGCTGGGGGACGATAGTCGTCTCGTGCTTCTCCAAAAAGTCACGTATAAGGAGCGACGTGTGAGCAGGTGCATTGTCATGGTGCAGCATCCAGGTCTTGTTTGTCCACACCTCAGGCCTCTTCCTTCGCACTGCCTCCCTCAAAACGCTTCAGGACCTCCAAGTAAAACTCTTTATTGACTGTCTGATCACGTGGAACAAACTCATGATGAACGACGCCCTTCCAATGAAAAAAGGCGATCAACATCACCTCCACATTTGAGCGACTCTGACGTCCAGATTTGGGATCGTCTTCGGTGGATGTTCTTCCCCTTTTGAAGCGCTGGTAGCACACATGACATTGCGTACGGCTCAAACAATCCTCCCCATAAGCTTGTTGCAACATTTGAAAAGTCTCCTTAAAAGTTTTACCCAATTTGAAACAGAATTTCACGCAAACACGTTGCTCTTCAAGATCCTTCATTGTTCAACTTGCAACAAATCGCCAAGTGCACTAAACACACGTTCACTCTAGCGCTTGTAGCTCGATGACTAATTGACGTGGCGTGATGCGGCTAGTGTTAGACTAAAGGTCAAGGTCACCGCTACACAGCGTTCCCGTCGCGAGTACGCTGCGCCGGCTCGTTGGTGCGCTGTTTAAAAAGTTTGGTTTCTTTTTGGACAGACCTCGTATGTAAGTTTAGCCATTAACATGACCACCCTGGGTGGTTTAGAAGTTGAAATATTGAGAAAAATGCCTTCATAGGTGGTAAATTTTGAAAATCCAAGATGGCTACTACACATACTTCTGGGAAAATGGAAACATTGGTTTTCTGGTTGGTTATACTTTATAGTTTCCAAAAATGTGTAGGTCAGTAAATCTCCAGAAAAAATCTGAACAAAATCATACAATAAAATGGAAAAAGTGTGTATTGTGATTTTGGTATGGTATTTGTAACATCTCCTCTGATGTTAATGAAGACACTGGATTATTGGATTTGTTCATAAGAATATAATTAAAGATTGAGAAGTCCATTTAGGAAGGGATGTTTTCAAATTTCAAAGTTCACTATAACAACACCATTAGGAAGTTTTTTCACAACTCAACATAAGGTGAGATAGATTTGAGTTACAATTGATAATGTTTTTTTTATTTTTATAGATTTAATTCTTTTTTCTTTCCAGTGGTAAGAGTGCCAGAGATGTACCTAACCTTGGTCTCAAAAGTTCATCCTCCAGTGATTCTGATGCCAGTGTATTTCAAGAGGGTAGGCAGACTGTCAGGCACTTGGTTGGAGGGTCTTTGCATATGCTGCCTTGTAACTCAAATGTTGAAAATGGCAGAAGTGGCAAACCTTGGAATTCAAGAAGTGAAACCATGTCTGGATTACTTGAATCAGATCATTATCGAAATTCCCATATTGATAACCCAGACAGAGAATATAGGTCATTACCAGATCTACAGAGCAAGTCCAGTGTAATACTTAACCATCCCACTGAAGCTACTGACTTTGCTTGGAGTCACAGGTGCCATAATCAAGAGTTAAGAACTGAAAATAGTAAATTTAGAGGAAAGACTGGCCTTGAGGGCATAAGAACAAATCCTCCAAATAAAAGCCATCAAGAAGCTCAACCTGGGTCTGTTCATCCATCTTTCACAACGAAGATATATAAGGCTTCTGAGATTCTCCAGTCAAGTGACATTACAGATGATGATGGTGGAGAGATGTCTGCATATAATAAACTGCAGGTAGATCAAGAGATGGCAAGAATGCTTCAAGAATTAAGGATGGTGTGTATATTATCTAGGTCTAGAAGCCTTTGAGACTACAGCTTCACATAATTAACTCAGGTCTCTATGTTCCTTAATCTATTTAAAAGCATATCATTATTAATTTTCCAGTGAGTGAACTTGCTTCAATGTTAATGGCATGAAAATAGTTACATTGAAGACTCTTCAGTGATAAATTATCAGTCTAATACAGTCATTTCTGCTACAACGCGATAGTTGCGTTCTTGTGAAACTTTGCGCTGTAGAAATTTGCGCAATAAAAATAACAGGGTTTATGGAGAAAATAGGGTTAGGTGCATATTACTTTGGCCATGATTTCACAGATTTGCTAGCACTCAAGTTTGTTCCAGCAATAGTGTTATAGCCTTTCTTTTACGTTCACCACCGGCAATTCGATCACCAGAACGCTTCTTGGAAACTTTCTTCTTACCTTGTCTTTCCATATTCATGGCTAACACAACAAAATTGGAGAAAACAGCAAAAATCATGGACACTTCACAGAGCAATAGACAGAAACCGCGCGATTCAACTGATCACATGATGTAAACAGAAAGCACTGGTGTAAACCGTTATTAGTCCGCACTGCGAAACATTCTTTTTACTTATTCTTTTCATATGGTATTTATGGGTAACATCTAAATCTGCCCCCCCCCCCCCAAAAATGACAAATTTACAGAGTACCTCTCAAAAATCACTTAACAAACAAAACACACGAATCAATTGAACATGTGAACTGTAAACATTGAATAACCCTGCTCCACGCTACACTTAAAACGTTGAGGATGGAATCGTGTTATAGCCAACATTCGTATGCAAAAGTTCGCATTTTACAAATGGCGTTCCCCTATTCATCAATTGCGTTACAGCCAATTCGCGTTGACAAAACACGCGTTGTAGCAAAAATGACGGATCAGACTTTCCCAATTAGATCAAATATAGGCCCCCAAATCAAACAAGATTTCCATGATAGATCCTTAGTTCCCATACTGTAAGTTTTTATGTTCAAATTTGGAACTCTTTTGAGTTCACACCTAAACCCTAGAAATTGAATTGAAGTTTTCAAGGTTAATTTCTTCTCCAAAATAAAACTAATTCTCCCAAATTTAAATATAAGATTGAGCTGAGGACCATCAAGATCAAACTTTCCACCTCAAGTGAAAATTTGTCTCCAAGAACAGTTTAGGACCCTTAATGGTTGAAACTATGCTACAAGGTCTGATCTTGATTTCAAGGATTGAAACTTGGCTCCATGGTTAAATATAGAATTCTCCAAAATTATATTTGTGTCTTAAGTTCAACTTCAGTGTCCAGAAGTAAAGGTAAACCTATCTTATTATTACACAGTGCAAACTATTCATTATTTAAAAAAAAAAAAAAATTAGTTTAACATAAAATATATTAATTAAATAACATTATTTATTCATTGCCTGAAGGTAATTCAGTAGATTGCTTGATTGCTTTCATTACTTATAAGGTAAATTTAAAGAAAAATCACTTCTTTTCTTGCAGAAGGTGACCTCTGCTAGAGCATCTGACAGTGAGGCGCCCACTCACGATACTTCCTTTGATCAAGATCCGGCAAGTATTACTTTACACAAGCTAAGCCAAGTGTCCACACTTCTCTCCCGATATGTTACTCAGTCTCAGTGAAGTCCAAGTTTTCTTATTTCTTTATTGTAATTAAAGTTGTTTAGTGACTTCATTTGTAATGTTAGCTGTGCCAATTCTTGTATGTTTTTGTGGCGGAAAGCTTTTCTCACATCTTCTCATTTTGAAACTTAATCCCTTGCAGTGATAGTATTTTGTAGTTCATTACCTTTTTATTGGTTTTTTTATGTTTGGGATTTCTCTCTGTTTACTTGCAATAAAACTTGTTTGTGCAAAGTACACTTTTCATTGTGTCACTATTATGTGGTGTATAGTATCTTTCTCCCTTATTATTGTGAGAATTTAACTCTTAAGTCTTTCCAGTGGTGCATGGCTTAAAACTGCTGCATTAATCTAACTTTATCATCTGGTCTCTCCCTCCCTCATTTTATATTGGCACACAACAGTGTACTATACTATTACAGACACCATTATCATGGCATATACGTCTGTATGGTAAACTTGGATTAATTTTGTGTGTTTATCAGTTTCACTTACACTGTAAATTGGTGCTGTTCTTACATATTGTATAAATGTCATGTATTTTATAAAAAAAAATTTTTTTTAGCATTTTCTCAATAAATATTCTATCGTTATCATAATGTCATTGATGATTGATGTTTACCTTATGCTTAATTGAATTTAAATTGCTTTTCTAAGGTACAGTATACAGTATATAGGAACCTTATTGGGGTGTGTGTGTTGTCAGTTCTCTCCTTCCAACACAAGAGGACCTGGGAGCATGACGCAATATTTTGTCATTTTTCTATACATGTTATAGCACAGTTCATATAAGGAATAATAATCATCCCATTGAGAGGGAAAACAGTTTAGAAGTGTATAAATCATCATGTGTCACAGAAAGACTTCTGGTTGAAGCAAGTTTGATAAGGGAAATAAATTCTATAAACCTTAGTGATGGTCAGTACAAAACTGATAATATGTTACACAAATTTATTTGTCTGGCCCAAGGTTAAAAATATATCTGCAATTACTTATTACATCATTAAACAGCTTCAATTACTTATTACATCATTAAACAACTGTTGCATTCTTTCTTTGACAAATAAGATACAGTAGTTATTACACATTCAGATCGGACTGGACCCTCAGGTCTTACTTTACATGTAACGACTTACATCTTCAAATCTTGGTTACAATAATTAACAATCATTATATTATTCCATTGCTAATACAGCTGGCGATATGATACACTTTTCAATATTCCCAAATTAACTTATAACATCATGTTCCATCGGCATGAACAACATGGTACTTTTCCTTCAGTTCACGTACTCAACTCGCATAACATATTTGCTGGTACTATCAATATTTATGGGTTCACTACTTAACCTGTGATTTCCACATTTCTGCTAGTTAATCCCTCAATCATAGATACAAAAATACTTTGGCCCATATAACTGTGAGGAGTGCCCCAGGGTATAACCCTGGCGTCTCCACAACAAATGAAGATCGCTGTTAGGGGTCGGCTGTAGACCGACACACGGCGACTCGGCGAGGGAGTCCAGCCTAGTTCCCAAGGGCGGAGTCTGCGGACTCGCACAGTTTAATCCTGCCGATTTAACGACATCGTTTGACCTTTGCCCTGGTGGGCTAATTCCCGTAAAAAAAAAAAAAAAAATACCAATCCCCGGTAGTTGCTGGGTATTCAGCTAACACACACACTGGGCCTGAGATAATTTTGGAGAGCCTCAAAGAAGGTAATAATAACTCAATCACAAACAATATTTTGTCTAGCAACGACAGACAACATTTACTTTATATTAGTTCTTTCACTGGGTAAATGACAATTTCACTGTTACATAATGAACACTGATATTCACAAAATCAGCTAAGTTAAACTGACTTAACATGGCGACGGGAAATCTTACACATACCCGAGATAATTTTGGAGAGCGTCAGAGAAGTGACGTCTCTCCTGCACACGAGCTTAACGAGCTTATGTTAGGCTAAATGGCAGCTCAACACATGCCAGAAATGGTTAATTACGCAATGACAGAAATTACATTTACCTCAATTGCTGTACATTTAAATATGAAACTCAGTTGCCACGGGTCAGGCGAATTTCTTAACTCGATTTACATAATCTAATCAGAGATTGAGCTTGCCAGGAAAAAGTGGAATTATACACGTTGATAACTTTAGTTTCACATCTGGCGGGACTTCTAGACAAGGAGCCTTTATGCATATACGTTGAGATCTTGGAGATCAGGAGTTTGACAGGTTCTTCTCAGGAGATTAATGACTTTCTTAAATTGACAACTGACAATAACTAAACTACAACCAACAGATTCTCTGATGTTTGGTTATTCCCAAGGACAAAATCATAAGATGCCAGTCGTACAGGCAGACTCGACTCTCACTTACTAGACAAGTGTTACTAACAACAAAGACAGTTGAAGCTTTCAACATCACTCACAAAGGATCATGAATGCTTTAACTGTAATCAAACATATCTAAGTTGACTCAAAACAATGGTGTTCTCTCTCACATTCAAATTCACTCTATAGAGAGGTTGGTTTCAGGAAGTCAGAGAAAATGGGAAAACGGAGAACTCGGGCGTCTTGAAGCGATGAGAAAATGGATGTCTTAGATGGGAGACTCAATAAAGAAGGCATAGCTACATGTTTTGTTGGCTATTGAGCGTAATATGAATCGTCTGATTTTACGTTAACTGACGTGTATGACCGTGGTCATTACAATGCCACATGTCCAGAAAACTGTGAGGGCAAACTTTTTCGGAGTGAGAATTGTGAACTCTTGGAGCAATCTGCCAGAGAGCGTTGTGACGGCACCGAATGTGAGCTCATTGAAGGCCAGACATGACCAACACTGGAGCAGGTTCAGATATATTCAGGAACCAGTGCATGCCCATTACTTGCCAACAGTGCATAACAGAGACATGGCCGACCACCCAAGCGGCTAACAAGTTGATCAGTGGCGAAGAGGATAAAAATTAGTAAAAGTGTTTTTCACAATCTACCCTTTCAACCAAGGAAAGTATTTAGGAGGAAGCACGTCTTAAATATTCTTATGTACATTCTCATAGTGCGCACACCTGGCCAGTAGATGATGCTGATTAAATGACGGGAAAAGTTGTGTTGGCAGTTTGTTTTGACTCATGGCTGCTGGGCATGGTGACTGACATGATGGTGACACAAGCATGGCGAGAAAAACAGGCTTCACCAGTATGCTGTGCTTGTGTGCAGCACAAATAAAAACAGCAATAAAGACCTGAGTTTCATTACTTCCCAAACGACAAGAAAAGGTAGGCATGACACAAGTTTTAACCATATTTTGAAAAGCAACCAGAGAAGATGTGAATAAAATTGATGAACTAGGGTTCATTTTCAAAAGTGATTATATAGAAAATCCCTCAACTTGACAATAGGGGTTGGTATCCCTCAGGATCTATGCTCTTGTATACAAGAAATAAATCTAAAGGAAAAAAATAAATAAATAAATACAAATTATATATATATATATATATATATATATATATATATATATATATATATATATATATATATATATATATATTATATATATATATATATATATATATATATATATATATATATATATATATATATATATATATATATATATATATATATATATATATATATATATATAAAGAAGATGAGAACCAGGGAAAACACAAACATCTTGACTAAGTTGGGTTTCTTTTAATCACTAACATTTCGGAAAAATAATTTTCCATCATCAGAGCCTCAAAAACAAAAAGTTTTGAAAAAGTTTTAAAATACAGGTGATATACAATAAAAACAAAACATTAAACAGGCGAGGAATGTGGTGCTTCTCTCGCGGCAGGGGCAAAGTCCTCAGGGTCACTGGTTGGGGTGTCTCGGTCCATGTCAGGAGCAGGGCCTACACCCGGAGTAGGGTCCACATCAGGAGTAGGGTCTACGACCAGAGCAGGGTCCACATCAGGAGCAGGGTCCATGACAGGAGCAGGGTCCACGACAGGAACAGGGTCCACGACAGGAGCAGGGTCCACGACAGGAGCAGAGTCCACCTTCTGGAGCAGGGTCCACGACAGGAGCAGGATCCACAACAGGAGCAGAGTCACCTTCTGGAGCAGGGTCCATGCAGGGAGCAGGATTCACCACAGAGCAAGGTCCACGACAGGAGCAGGGTTCACGACAGGAGCAGAGTCCACCTTCTGGAGCAAGGTCCACGACAGGAGTAGGGTTCACGCCCGAGCAGGGTCTCTGCCAGAGCAGGGTCCACGACAGGATCAGGGTCTACGACAGGAGTAGGGTCACCTTCTGGAGTAGGGTCTCCGGACAGAGTAGTGTTCATGACAGGAGTAGAGTCACGCCCGAGCAGGGTCTACGACAGAGAGTAGGTCTACGCAGGGGTAGGGGTTAACACAATAGGGGTCCATAGGCAGGCACAGGCTACAGGGTCTCCCGACAGAGTGGGGTCCACGACAGGAACAGGGTCCACGACAGGGAGCAGGGTCTGATCAGGAGCAAGGTGCCACCGTCACGACAGCTGGGGGGAGCAGGGGTTCTGTATAGCAGGGGTCCGGAGTCCCTACGCAGGAGTAGGGGTCTCTGCTGACAGGAGCAGGGGTCTACAGTATACGACAGGAACAGGGTCTACATCAGGGAGCAGGGTCCACAACAGGAGCAGGGTCCACGACAGGAGCAGGGTCCACATCAGGAGCAGGGTCCACGACAGGAGCAGGGTCCACGACAGCAGCAGGGTCCACGACAGGAGCAGGGTCCATGACAGGACCAGGGTCCACCACAGGAGCAGGGTCCACGACAAGATCAGGGTCCATGTCAAGAGCAGTAGGTACCTGAGGATGAAAAGAGGGTGCCCAGAAATGTGGACGGGGTGTTGCTGCAAGTGGAACTGCGGGCCGACTGGTGTAGGCGTAGTTTGTTGGGGGTAATGCTGGGCTGGGGGCCCAACGGATAAGGTGACTGGCTTCACTCGATCTATGCTGACGGTGTCGTGTCTGCCATTGCGGATGATCATCAGGAACTTCGCTGAACGTGCAACAACCTGGAAGGGTCTGTCGCAGGGGCGTTGAAGTGGGTTGCGGTGAGCATCGCGCCTGACGAAGACATACTCGGCATTGAGTAGTGCAGGAGGGATGTGTTCAAGGCGCCGAGAAGGCTGGCGTAGGGCAGTAGCTCTGAATGCAGAAACTGCTTGTCGTAGTTTTTGCAGTAGTTCGTGACGGACGGCAGGAGTGGAAGTTATCGAGGTCAGGAGGAAGTGAGAAGTCCTCGGGTAGGCGAAGGGGCTCGCCTAGGGTGAGATCTGCTGGGCTGCAGTCCATGTCCTCCTTGTGTGATGCACGGATGCCGAGGAGCACTAAGGGTAGAGCATCCGTCCAGTTGTAAGGGTCGTGCTGTCCCTTGATTGTGTCCTTCAGCTGCCGGTGAAACCGCTCTACCATGCCGTTGGATTGAGGGTGGTAAGCGGTAGTGCGGTGCCTAGAAATGCCGAGGAGCTGTAGGAGGCTGTGCCAGAGTTGTGACTCAAACTTGGCTCCTCGGTCAGTGATGACGGTCGTGGGGGGACCGAAACGGGA